TGCCTTAGAAAGGGACTAGCAACTGAAGCAGCTGCTCTCCTGAGAGTAGCAAAGCGGAGGTGATGTTGCCTACTTGCTGCTGAAAAAGCAGGAAAAACTAATTCTAGAGGAAAATTTTCTAGAAGAAAATATATCTTCTAGAATCAGAGATCCAGAAACAGGAATATCTGGCAGTGTTTTAGCTGCAGAGGGGATGTCTTTGATTTCTGGAGGGGATTATAAGGAAAGAGGTGGGAAATCTCTATAAGTTACACACTGAAGAATGTAAGAGAAAGGGATATTGATGTTGTACCTGCAGCAGCACTTCTTAAAAATAAGAGAGCCCTGGAGGTGAACAAACTAATTTCTTTGCTATTAATAAGCTAATAGGGAAGAGTAGGGAATGAGGGGCAATTAGAGTTTCAAATGTTTCTTGAAATGGCAAAATCGCTGTCTGAATCATTCTCTATTGTCATTTTTTACTTTTTACTGTTGAACGTTTGATTCCTGTGTCACTAATTCTACAAACAACTCCAAAAGCTGTTTTTTCTGTGTGAATTAAGCTGATTGGACAAAGTCTATAAAAACATTTTAAGACCACTACAATTATTAAAATCTAATATCTGTTTATACTCCTTCTGGAACTGAATAAATAGTTAAATTCATCAGGAAATACAATCCTTTTAATGAATTTGGCCAGCTCTAGCAATTAGTTCTAAATTCACTTCTGTAATATGAACTACTCCAAACACAAGCTCACTTGTTTCTTTCTCAGTAAAGCTATTTCACAGTGGAAAAAAATGAGTATTACTAGAAAATAATTCTACTGTTGGAAAAATTAATCTTCCTGAATAGCCTGAGAATAAATGTAAGTAGGATTCTATGGAGGATCAACTCAGAAAAACGACATCACGTTACTGCATATATCTTCTCTCTCACATATCTGATCTCTTCCTGGTCACATTTGTTTAGCTCACTGACAAACAGCAAATTTTTACCACTAGTGGCAACATATAGAGCCTATTCCTTTGTGGAAAATGAGCTGTACCTTGGGCTGTTTCATGAATCATGGGCGGAATTGTCAACTAGTTCTGGACTCAGAAATGTCAGTGATGTTCAGTGATGATGTGCGAAAGAGATGCCAAATCGTTTTTCAGGTAGTAGATTAGGCTCTCTTCACTAGCACCTAAAAATGGTGCGTTGAGTTGAAAACTCAACGTTTTCAATAGGAGATTTTTTCAAGAATAAAATGTGAAACTCATATTTAATGTTTATAGCATTTCCTTCTGCCTGTAACCACAGTTTTTTCCTTAATTGCAAAATAGATAGAGTCTGAGCATAACTATATTTTTGAAAAAAAAAAAAAAAAAGTAAGCTTGAACTGTGAGAGCAAGTACAATATTTTATAACTGGTGATCAGCAAGCTGACATTCCCAAGTGAGGTCCTGACTGTTAGGCAAATAGCACTTTCTTCAGGGACTTACGGTATAGTAGTGTCTGAGCGTATATAAACTGTAGTTTATCTTGCCAGTCTAGATGGGACTCAAGTAGGCTTTAACTATATTGCCAAGCTTTATGACAACCCTGCAAAGCCCAGAGCAGTGATCAGAAACATGAGTAAAACATTTTTGTCCTAACAACTGACATTTCACTCTTCAGTTTTAAATGTGTCAAGAAATCACATGGTTGTGGCTTAACCTTAGAGGTATTTGACAGAGTAGATAATAAATCTGTCTTCATTTTTCCTCAAATAGCACTGTTTCTGTAAGTTAAATGAAATGAAAAATTTCTTTGACTCTTACCCATTATCATAATTAACATTAAAATCACTTGGAAAAATCTCACCAGGAATTTACCGGATCAGTAGCTGTCATTCAGATGGCCATTACCTCTGTGATCTCCTTCCACTACGCATTAGCAGAGGGATAAAACACATGCCATAAATCAAGTAAGTGTTTTAGAGGGATCCACACTATGAAAGGCTGTGCAGAAAAATTGGAGCAGTGTCCTGAAACTCTTCCTAGGCAATATGCTGTCCCACTCCATCAGCCCTAAGCAATAAAACAGGCTCCTGTAAGCTTTGTAAAAAGGCTGTGTGGGACAACGAGGACTAGTAGAAAGCAATAACATGATTGCCTGGCCTGCAGGTCCAGCAAGATAGGTCCCAGGTAGGAAGAAGGCATCAGGACCTCCAAGACTTTTCCTGTCAGATTTTTTATCGCTGTTGGTATTATATGTGCAGTTTTTCACTGTTTTGTCTTTCTGCCTCTGCCCTTTCCAAGCCAGGAGTGCTCCTATCTAATCTGAGCTCTGATTGCACTATTCACAGCTGTGCGCAGTCTAGTAAAGAAAGCTCTAATCAAAGACACTCTTACATGAGGAATTTTCAAAGCATGATAAAATTGCCAAAATAGATGAATGAGAAAAATTATTGTTATGGTTACTGCTGTATTTCAGACAAATAAAAGTAACTAACAGACTTACAGTTTGTTTCTTGCCCCATGTGATCGGTTGACCCTGGCTGGAAAACAAGCGTCCACCAAAGCTGCTCTGTCTCTCTCCCTCCTCAGCTGGACAGAGGAGAAAAAAAATATAACGAAAGGCTCGTGAGTCGAGATAAGAACAGAGGGAGACCACTCACCAATTACTGTCGTGGGCAAAACAAACTTGACTCGGGGAAATTAATTTAATTTATTACCAATCAAATCAGAGTAGGATAATGAGAAAGAAAACTAAATCTTAAAACCACCTTCCCCCACCCTCCCTTTTTCCCAGGCTCAACTTTACCCCTGATTTCTCTACGTCCTTCCTCTGAGCGGCACAGGAGGATGGGGAATAGGGGTTGCAGAAAGTTCAACACATTGTTTCTGCTTCTCCTTCCTCCTCAGGAGGAGGACTCCTCACACTCTTCTGCTCCAGTGTAAGGTCTCTCCCATGAGAGACAGTCCTCCATGAACTTCTCCAACTTGAATCCTTCCAACACTACAGTTTTTCACAAACAGTTTCAGTGTGGGTCCCTTCCACAGGGCGCAGTACTTCAGGAACAGACAGTTTCAGCATGGATCACCCATGGAGTCAGAAGCTGTGCCAGCAAACCTGCCAGCAAACAGAGCTGTCATTGGCACCTCTCTCCACAAGTCCACAGATCCTGCCATGAGCCTGCTCCAGTGCTGGTTTCTCATGGGGTCACAGTGTCCGTCAGGTATCCATCGTCTTTGGTGTGGAGTTCCCCATGGGCTGCAGGTGGATCTCTGGCTCACCATTAACCCCCACGGGCTTCAGTGGGCAGCGTGCCCTCACCATAGTCTTCACCATGGGCTGCAGGGGAATCTCTGCTCCAACACCTGGAGCACCTTCTCCCCCTCCTGCTTCACTGACCTTGGTGTCTGCAGAGCTGTTTCTCTCACATATTCTCACTCCTCTCTCTGACTGCAGTTGCTGTTGTGCAGCAACTTTTTCTCTTTATCCCCTTCTTAAATTTGTTATTTCAGAGGTGCTACCACAGTGGCTGATGGGCTCGACCTTGGCTAGCAGCAGGTCCGTTTTGGAGCTGGCTGGCATTGGCTTTTGTCAGACATAGAGGAAGTTTCTAGCAGCTTCTCACAGAAGCCACTCCTGTAGCCCCGCCACTAACAAAACCTTGCCACGCAAACCCAATAGACCCCAACAGTTGCAGCCATTTAAAAATCAAGATAAATAAACTTACACAAAGGTTTTGGATAGAGATTCAATTCCAAAATATGGTAGGTTAGTCCGTTAACTTGTGCTCTACGTTAGGGGCTGTGTATTTCCAAAGAATCTTATGTTTTCTTAACAAGTGGATTTCATTACTTCAGATGTAACGGAGGTGAAATTCTTCATGTGCTACGTATTACCATATTTGCTCAAATAAAGACAAAGGTTATAAAAAAATTGTAAAAAATTGACTAAAATTTTAAATTGTCTCAAATCTCAAAAAATCACTAACATTTTAGACATGATTTTGTCTTCTTGTCCCATGAACTATTGGGAGCACTCTCAATCTGGAAAATAAAATCACTTTAATTTTCTATATTGAAAATTCACAATTTAAAACTAGTTTGTCAAAAAATAAGAGAAAATGAAAACACTTTCTTTTTAGTTGTTGTTGAATATTTCCTTTCTGTTATTGTTCTGTTCCAGAGTTTTCCCTCTGATTTGTCAGACTTTGCTTGTGGCTCACTTGAAATCATGGTGCAGCTCAGGTGGTCTGTAACAGTTTCATTAATTTTCATACCTTACCTATCTCAGATCCACAGGTTAATTCACATTGTGGAGGAAAAATTTTAAGGAAGTAGTATAGGAAACATAGAATCATAGAACGATTTGGGTTGGAAGGGACCTCAAAGATCATCTAGTTCCAACCCCCCCGCCATGAGCAGGGAAACCCTCCACTACATATATGAAATATAATAGAATAAAGCAGTCTATGGTAAGGGGTCAGAGTGGTGCAGGACTAGGAACACATGTGAACCTTCATTGAGGGCAAGTCATTCAGATGGAGGCTTTCAGAGGTCAAATAGGAATCCCAAGCCTTGCAGATCTGTGCTGCTTTGCAGGCATTTCTGTATCACAGGTATCATGAAATTCTTAACTAATCAAAAAGCCAGATGAGACCATATGAGAAAAAAGGTATGTGGAACAGGTTTTTATTTATGGCTCATGAACAGGATGTAGTCAAATTTAAGTTAGCTGAAAAGGTTTTTATTTGTGAAACTCAGTTATTTACAGAAGGATATGTTCAAATGATTTGCAGGTAAACACAAGCTCCTTCTGTCTTTACTCTGAATGAGCCAGAGTTGTGCTAACCCCAATCTAAAGGCCATGAAGGTGTGATTATTACCGGATTGTGCTCAAGCTAATAAGAAACCTCAGTGTCACGCTAGTCATAGTGACATGCATCAAAATTGCCTGGCTGGCTCTCACGTAGGGCGAAATGAGTCTTCCTGCAAAAGACTGCTTTTCCAGGAAGCATCCTTAATCCGGATGCTGGGTGTTTTGTTTTGTCTTTTTTTTGGTTTTGTTTTTTTGTTGTTGTTGTTTTGTTTTAATTTTATTTTATTTTTACTCTAGTATCTCAACCAAAAAGTATTTATTATAGAAAATATTTTTAAATGTTAAAAGATATATACACAAAATATTATCTTTATCTTGTTTTTAACTGAAAATGGCACCTCATATTTATGTGTTATTCCCTGACAATACTAGTCTCTAGTAAGTTTTAAAGGTATTATCTTAACAATCAACTTCCTGATTTTTATTCTAATTGTATTAAAGTTTTATAAAAGGATGATGAAATTTTGTTAGTTCCTACTAATCTGCAATGGAGATGCAAGTTTTGTTCGCCTTCCTGGATTTTCTCCAAACTGAAGATGTGAGAATAGAGCTTTTAACATCTTGATTCAGCAAGGCTCATGTGCTTAGCAAGGCAGTTTATACCTCAAAAGTTTGTTTTCCATTTTTTTCAGTTCAAATACTTAACATACTTAACTGAAAGAGCAATCATAACTGCAAAACTCTTGTTGAAGAAAAGTTATGCATTTCAGATGTTTTACAACAGAAATAGATTTTTCTTCTTTTACATACTTAAAATGTTGTTCAAGATTTTTTTGGAGGAAGTGAGTTAAACATCTAATTTTCCCTGAAACTGAAAACTGAAGAAATTTTTTAAGGCTAAAGGTTTTCATTGTAGGTATTTCACGTGGCTCTGTTGATATAATAGTTCAGGTCATCACAGTTCTTATACAAAGATGAAACGTGTCATGTTGAATTAACTTTGGAATATATTTTGAGTACTGCTATGGCGTGTATAGCCCTTTCAACTTTGATTATTTGTAGTAAATATTCACTGTTTCATCTTCAGTATTTTAACCCCTTCTGACTAAAATGTAAAAAAGTAAAAACAAGCTTGAAAATATGCTGCATTGTTGCTCACGTCACGCATTCTTAATAGTAGAGAAGAGCTGTGGAAGAAAACAGAAAAATCACTATATTCAGATAGACAAGCCCCACTTAATTTGTGCAGATAATTTATGCTGGGCTCAAAAAACACCTAACTTGATCCAAAACTCAACCTCATATTATGTGGAAATCTCTTTTGGGTGAGAAACATTTGAGGGAAAAACAAAAATAAACAAACAAAATTAATTTCTGTGCAAATTTCTTTTATATATTTGTCTTTAGTTTTGTTTCCATTAAAATTAGTTGCAATTTTTTTTTTTTTTTTTAGTAGGGCTAGAATATCTATACAAATACACCGCTGGGTCAAAGAACAAAAGTTGGAGTGGAAATACACCAAGAGTAAGCTATGGTTTGCATTACATCTGCTTAGCATTGCTGATGTTGATGCTTGTGTGAAGAGCTTAAATGATGCAGGAACCATTTAGGCTTCAGAATTTTTAGGGAAATGTGATCTTTGGAAAACTGTACTAATTCAGGTAGTTGTGTGTGTATTGTGCATAGTTAGTGCAAAAGGTTATAATAATTGGCTATTTCTGCGGTTTCACTCCATTCTCCTTTTTTTCCAATAGGGTGGAGTGAATGGCTTGACTGGAGAACTGGAATTTGCAGAAAATGGGGGGAATCCCAATGTGCATTTTGAAATTTTGGGGACAAATTATGGAGAAGATCTTGGCAGAGGCATCCGCAAGGTGAGGCTACATGTATTCAAACAAGAGACTCGTTTTACTGATTTTTAAAAAGAAAATTCTTGTGTTCCATGTTAGTACAAAAATGTTTGATGGCAGAAAACATGTTGTTTTGTATAGTTAAGAGAAGTAAGAAATGGGAGAAAAGTCTTGAACTTCCAGATACCCATCTATTTTATTATTGGAAACAGGCCTTGTGGTAGGTTATGTTGATCAAGGTGTTGTTTATAATATAGAATGTGTTAAGCTGCTGGTCGACTGTCCTAAAAGACCAGTGAAAGCTGTTGTTTTGTGACCCTTGCAACTCAATTCCAAAATAGCAAATTTTACCTTGAATTATGTTTAGAGCACTCAGATTGACACTTGATACTTATAGTCAAAGTGGGATGCTGCAACTATTAGATGATTAAAGTTCATAGTTACAGAAAGAGAAAATCTGTTGTGACATAGACAAAAGTTCTGTAATCTCTTGTCTTCATGAAATAAGTACACAATGTTTTAGTAGAAATTAACTTTCACAGAATAAGTGTAATGTTACGTATTCAGCCGCCAGACACAGCTCAAATACTTAGACATAGACTGAGGAAATGGCGTTCATCTCCAGCAAAGAGCTCCAGTTTTGTGAATGTGTAAAAATAAATCTAAGTCCTGTGTAAGGAATGGTGGAAACAGATCTCTATTTGCAATTCATATCCTTAACTTTGGACAACTGCCCATCTGAGATAGCAAAAGTAGCAAAAGTCATATGATACCTCTTAGGAAAATAAAAGACTAATAGGCTTTTCCAGGAACAACTCTGCTTCAAACACAGAGCTCCTGAAAGATAATGCCAAGATGTCTTCATTTAGTGTATCAGATCATACTGGTTTTTACACGTGAGGAACCTGAAGTGGTTGTTTGAAAGCAAACGACAGAGAAAGTTATCTTAATATATGTAAACTGGTTCCACATGTCAGTGTCACTATATGATGAAGTACATCATTTGTCTGCATACCTTCTGCAGTAACAGATAAGTGCTCTGAGAGAAGGGAGAGATAAATAAGAAGTTAAAAGTGTTTCTAAACTTCTGAAATTTCTCCTCCACACTTCATTGAAATTGTTATTCCGTTCCTGCCATTTGATCTGTTGTCAGCACCTTAATGTACACACGTGCTTATAGCTATGTCACCTTGAGCAGAGATCCTGGCAGATGCTTCAACAACTAAATGGAGCTGGATTTTGTTGCTATTTGGAGGTGTGTTTTGCAAAGTCTTTAGGCAACCAGAATGTTGGATTAGTCCTTATTCCCTCAACTATAAATTCGTTCTGTTTCAACATGTTTTGACTTGATTTATTTTCCATGCTATGCATCTAGGAGCTATTTATTCTTTAGAGCAACCAAGTAGTCCTTCCTAAGACAAGTCTGTGTCTCTGCATTTAATTTGATTGGTTGACTTTGGCTGGTTTTTGACTTCAGGCCTGTCTGGATGAATGCTTGAGTGAAGCATTAGATCGTGTTCTTCCATTTCACAAAAAGATAGGCGGGAGAGAGAGACACCTACAGAAAGGTCTTGGAAATATAGAAGTACGAAAGACATCCTAGCATTTCTTACACTTTCTCAGTGGTATAATTTAGAATTTATAGTGCAAACTTAAACTGTAATGCAGTATACTTTTAAAGACGAGATTAACAGCCATAGGCAAATAGAAATTGTGCAAAGCAATGAGTTACTACAAACAGGCTTTTGAACCTTCCTTGTTTACCCTTTGTCATAATTCAAGAACAAAGAGACATTCACTGTCTTTGAAAGGAAACAGATCTGAGGTTGGTCAAAGACAATAGAGTTTTGCACAGAATATAACTAGACCATGAAAATCAGTATCACAAGACCCTGTTCAGGAGAAAAGCAAAGTTAAAAGTAAGATGCTGAAAGTATGGGGTTTTTTTATGTTTGCCTAGAAGAGCATTTAAAATTAAATATAGAGACTATAAGAAATTTTTCCTGTTGAAGATTACACTATAAACATCTATCCTTAGAGTTTTGTGATGCACTGCAGCTGGTTAAAAAGAAGAAAGTGTTCAGAGCAGAACAGATTTAATCTGTTCCATTTTTTATTCTAAAGAGTATTCAGTGATCCAGAGAAAGCTTTAGAAAGTGTTTGGATGTGGAGAAAGGAATTTTCTTTAGAAAGAAATTTCTGTATGTAGTGTGAGAATGTGATAATTGCTCCTGGAGGTGTCTTTCAAAAAAAATTCAAAATAATTCCAATTAAATATTATATTTTTTATACTAAATCAAATAGTAAAAAGATTTAAAATACATATGGTATTTATAATCCATGTCACAAAGTTAAAACCACCTGTGAATCCTAAAACATTTACCTCAAGATAAAGAAGAAAATTTTTAAGGGGCAAATACTTTGCTTGGTTTACTCTTTTGACAAATGTTCACATATTTAATCTTTTACTAGGTTTTACTTAACAGTGTATGAGCCACTAGTGTTGGAAGCAAATCACAATAATTACAGGAGTCAGATATATTTTTGTTAGTTACACTAATTAAAGTGCACTTCAGATTTTCATGTATTTAGTGGTGTGACTACAGAACTACCTAATCGTTTTTTATTTCTCAACTCTAGTGGATGCAGCTGCAATTAGCAGACTGACTGAAATTTCTAAACAAATGCATCTTCCCTAATTAACATGTTTCCAAGTACTTTTATAGGAGATAATGAAGGGTGAAATCGTTACAAAAGCCCCATTGAAGTCATTGGGACCAGAAGTTCACACCAAGTCAAGTGTGCAAAGAATTTTATTTTTTTTTCCTGAGGAACAATCCATCTATTTTAATTAAAGCAAGTAAAATGTTAAATGCCACTCAAATTTCTCAAGAGTCTGAATTCTGCTTGAAGTTGGTTCTGTTTGGCTTCCAGAGTCATTTGGTTAATTCTGAAATGTTCATTTATATTCACAGGTTAATATTCCTAGAATTCACAAAAGAAAACGATTTAAGAAAACCAAGAATTCATGTTTGTGTTTGTTTTCAGAGGCCAAATTAAGCCGTGTATCTAGCAGAAACTGCAAGTCCTCTCCTTCAACTTTCATGGTCTACTGTCATACCTGGAAAGCAGTGGGAGTGTTCATGTGGGAGTTTATTGTGTTGGGCTCCTTAATCTAGTGACGAGTTAGCAAATTCAGGAGTGGGATTTGTCTGAAATACACATTTTGTACTATTACGTCTGTAAATGCCATCCATTACCTTGCAGACCATGGATTGCTTAGGTTATACGTGTTGCCAAAGTCAGGTACTTGGAGTAATACAGTCAGATCGCAGCCCAGCACTGACTTTATTGACACCAGTGGTGGTACCATCCCAAAGGAACTCCAGAAAACCTCTTGCTTTTACACATCGTGCTGTGGCTTGAGTTTGTGCAGATATAGTTATATTCAGTGGGAGACACAGGTGTATTTCTGACATTTCTCTGTTGGTATTTGGCATTTGAGTATGTATTCTTTGACATTTAAATTTCAGTGCAATGCTTTTATCTATACTGTTGAAATAAAAGCTGCCGTTCCTGTGAATAACCATCCAACAAACAAACGAACAAAAGGGAGTTGATAGCTCAGAGGAGTGTTGTCTTATATCTTAGTGGGGTAGAAAACAGCACTGCAGAAATAAAGTGGTTTTCATGTTTCTTCCAGTGCTCCTTGTAATTCAGAATGAGCTTGTCCTCAAAGGCTCTGTGATACACCTTTTGAAGTTTAGAGGGCTTTCTTCCTGTTTCCACACTGGTTCTCGTACCACATGTGGACATTTGGAGATCATGGTGCATTTTGTTCTGCCTCCATATCCCTGTTAGCATACGCCCACCTCCTATGCATTTCTCTTTTCTTCTGAAGGTGGTTTCTGTCGTTTCCTCCCAGTGGGGGAATGACATGACACACCAGGGTCTCGCATCTCTTACTCTCTGCACCAGGATATCTATGTCAAGGCTTTCTTTGCATTTAGGACTCCTAGGAATGCCTCAGAGCAAGGATAGAGCCACAGGCATGCAGGAAAACAGATACCCTGGGTAAGACACCTGGGTAACACAGGATTCTTCAAGCCCCTCTGTATTTGTTTCATAGGGTTGTACGGCTCTGTCTTAAATGATTTTAATTTGATGACCTTAAGGAGAAAATTTTATCTGTTTTAGCCTGAGGAATATCTGTAGCACAAATCATTTAATCTGAATGTGACTGAAGGCCTTTAACCGTAACGCCTGACAGATGTGTTGTTCCTCTCTCCTTCTGCCAGCGCGAATGGCAGGACCTTCCCTGTGGAGTCAATGCATGCAGGTTTTTCAGATTATTAAGGGTTGCATAGAACTTTGTATAGTTGTATTGTTTTTTCAGAGATAGGAAAATTGTATTTCATTTTTTGTTTTCATTCTGGTAAAATAATTTCTACTTCTTGATCTGAAAACAGTTGTTGATTGAAATAGTGGCATTGCTTTTTTATCCGATATATAGTTTTATCTTACATTGGCATTATGAAGTAACGTATATTCCAAGTGTATATTTTGATCTTTGGGAAGTTGCTGTCTCTTCTTATAAAGTTAAAACTTATTTTTTGCATCTTTTATCTCTCATTGCCTCTTCCTTCATTAGATAAAAAGAGAAGTTATACAGCTCCGCTGATACTTATTAACTAACACTATTTAGTAGCCAAGAGTAGACAAAATATTTTCTTCCTGCTTAGCTTATAGGTTAGCTACTTGAGGTAAATGATGGGTTCACCTGTTTCTTTTGTGATCATGATCAAAAGTAGAGCTCTGTAATGTGATTTAAAAAATGTATATATATCAGCACCTGATACTTTAAGCCATGATCTGTTTCAGCTGTTTCTAAAGTCTGACATGCAATTTATGATGTGATTGAAAGATATACTTGCAATTTACAGAGACATTATTGATGGTGTATTTTCTAGTGAGTTGAAAAGAAATGTTGCTCTGACTGCTTTGCCTGTGGTGTTGATAGAAAA